CTTTCCGCCGCTACTTGATTTCTTGCAGATCTGGTGGGAAAAGTCAATTTGGAGCGACGGCGGTTGGGGACGGCGATTGGACTTCCTTCTTCTCCTTTCTTCTGCCCCAACGATGGCTAGGGACAGCGAGCGACTACTGGTGACCTCGACGATCTGGAGCTTTCACGATGGTGGAGAGGAACGACGATGGTATGGTGGTGATGACTGATGGCGGCGAAGGGGTAGGAGGAGAGGACGATGGAATTTTATCTTCGGAGCGGCGGCCAAGGGTACTTGGACGGGAAGGTGAAAGAAGAGAGAGAGAGAGAGAGTAGATCGAAAATTATAAAAAATTATTATTTTTATTGTTTTGGTTAATTCTACCTCCGCCCCTACATCAGTCATTTTGTTAGTCCAATCAGCATGTTAGTTGACACCGTTAAAGAAGTGGACGGAAGTGGCTATAAGTGGTATTTCTCCAAATTTGGCTATTATTGGCACAAACGCGAAAGTTTTGACTATACAAGTGTATTTTGCCTAAGAAATACCCCACACTTGAACTTTGCTTATCCCCAAGCAAACACTACTCATGATCATACAACTCAATGACATAGCCATCACTTAACCCTGCTCCTAGGTAGTAGATCATAAGCAACTTACAAGTTAACAATTGCACAAGAGACTCCTAACCACATCAATATGACGACTATAATATATTATATAATCCAAGCATCAACAAACAAATCATGCATCAGAGTCTCAAACCATAAGAGTGAATTTTTTATAAAAATTGAAGCTTTGAATGCTTTTTACCATCTTCTTGACAATCCTTTAAACCACTTTGACTTTGTTAAACTCATACTTGTTTTCCCATTTTTTTATTCTTTTAGAATTTCCTTCCTCCAACTGTTTTTTCTTTTTCCAAAATTTCTCATGATGGAGAGCTCTTTTGAACTTTGCTCTTATTAGTCGAGCAATCCTTAACCTCAACTCGTGTGGAGGGTCAATGAAATTAAGGGGTGCCAGAAGTTTTATTTGTGCCATTAAGAACGCATCTTCAAGTTGGCAATCAATTCGACTGGTGGAACTTTTACTGGTACTATAGAGGAAATAACATCACCTAGTAACACTACCCCACCAAAGCTCCACTAGCATCTCTTCCAAAATCCGATTTTGTGCAATGAAAAGATGCCTCACACGTTAGGCTTACCCCACACCTTATTTTTCAACACACCATGACAAGTTTTCAAAATATGTTTTGATGGGTAGAAATTTTGCATTTTTCTAAAGGTACCAGTCCACCCTTTTATAAAATTTTGACAACAACCGACTCTTCTGCATAATCAGAAATCTTTGCATAGATCATATAATATGACACTCATACAAATCAAATAGTCATTTCATCTCATTGACTATAACATCCGTCATAGTTACTACACTAACCTACCTAGATCAAGTGATGATAACTAGACTCATTATTCAAAGTAAGAAGAGAACTGATCATGTTTGTAAGGGATGACTAAAGTCATTAGATGGAAAAAAACATATTTAGTGATTTCAAAAACTTGTAAGCACATATCACAACTATTTAGCATTGAAAATATTCAAATTTTAATCAACTAGAAATATAGCACGTAGTAAGCATATTGAAGGTAAACATATCAACCATTCCCACCCCACGCTTTAAAATTAACATTTTCTTCAATGGACTAAATGATAGTGAGTCATGGTAAGGTTGAAACGAATTACTTTAAAAGTCGATAAGAAATCCGAAATTAGTCTCTATTGTAGCTAGTCTCCATCAACGTTTTGAAAAAAAATAACAAAACAAAAGCAAATGGGTAGGGTACACGAGGCTTCTTCAAACTCCTCTCCTACATGCTTGGTCCTCCTGGTGGTGGTGAATCTCCTGGGCGAAAGCCTCTGAATGCTCTACTTATATCTTCCATCCAGGAATACTACAACAAATTCGGCCTATTAGGACAAAAATTTTATTTTCTCATTTTTTGTTTGTCACAATAGGTATGGTGATATGACAAAAATAATATATGTCCTATTTGGTATGCGTAATGTGAAAAAAAAAACATTGTCAGATATAAGTCGTCACTTAAAGTGAGTAATGTGACAAATAGTTTCTGTCATAATTAATTTTGTCAAAATAGGCGTCACTGTAAGAGACTCAACAATGACAAATTTCATGTTGTCAGAATAGTTTGTCATTTCAAGTGAGTAATGTGACAAATAATTCGTGTCACAATTAAGTTTGTCAAAATATGCATCACATATCGGAATGTAAGAGACACAAAAGTGACAAATTATATCGTCACCATTCAGTTTTTTACCCATATTTCAATGTCGTCCAATTTTTTAACTATCCACTTTTCAATCCCTCCCAATTTTTAGTCCCAAATTTTCAGCCTGCCCAAAAATTGAAATTCCCTCTCCCCCAACCAAATTTTCATTTACCCTAGGATCCTGCTCCTTTTCCCCAAGCATACACTTCCCCCTGCAATTGAAAAAATTAAATCACCCACCCACCTACCCCTAATACCTATTTAATTTATTGATCCCTTTTTTCCTCTTCTTCTCTTTATCGATAATTCGATGCCCTTTCCCTGCTCCTTCTTCTTTTCTTCTTACGCCTTCTAACTTTTTTCTTGCCTTCTATTTTTCTTTCGCCTCACTCAACCCCTCAGTCTCCAACCCCGCCGCCATTCCCAGATCAAGACACGGCTTCGAGTCCTCCCTCCCTTTCCCGTCGAAGCCTGTGAATCTCAGGTTATGTGGTCTCAGGAGGGAAGTCTTGGGGTTTTCTTCCGCTTCTTCTCATCATCTCCCCACCTCCCAGTCAAATAGGAGCATAGCTCGCTCCAGGAAGGTTTCGGCCTCCATGGGCGGCGCCAATGGCAGCAGCATTGCTCCCAAGTTATGTGATTACGACTGAATCATCATTGGAGCTGGAGTCGGCGGTCACGGAGCCGCACTTCACGTTGTTGAGAAGGTACGGTAGTGGGTTTGCTTGGTCTGATTTTATTGGCATTTCTGCTAGTTTGATCTAATTGAGAACTTGGGAGGGTTTGAAGTAGATTTGATTGGTTTAGGCTTGAATTTCTCGTGAAGTGGTCAAATTGGTCCATTCGATTTTGGTTATTAGCGGTTGAAATCATTCTAGTCTGACTTTTTTTAGCTAGGGTTTGAAAACTGCTTTGTTGAAGCGGATGTCAGAGGAGGAACTTGTGTAAACAGATATTTTGTGTCGTCAAAAGCTTTGATGGTCGTCAATGGTCGGATGCGTTAGCTTCAAAGCGAGCATCATTTGAAAGCTTTGGGTCTTTGAGTAAATGGGTTTATGGTGTTCTTACGACTGATTGTGCAGGAATTGATGTTAAAGAAATTGCTTATAGGTTCTTGAAGATAAATGTATGAGAGCCGACTTAGAAATTTGTAACGAGGAACACATTTGGTCGAATTGTGTGGTAATAGGGTTGTCTCAACATGTGATAGGTTTCAGCTACTGGTTATGACAGACAGGGAGTTTTCGATTAACCTAGGCAAAACTATGTGAGTTCATTGTCATGAATTGCCTTGTTTCATTATGATTAGTTCATAGCAAACCATGTGACCCATATCATTAAATTTGTTCTTCAATGTCTAGCTAGAGATGCAACCCATTTGGATACAAGCAAAGGCAGAGGGGAAGCAAGTATCAGATCGTCAGATTGTTCAGATGGTCCTGAAGAAAAAGGTGAAGTATGGACTGAAGGAGAATCCAAGATTCGAAAAGGAGTTAGAATGTTTGGTTATGCTGAACAAGGAATTAGACTGCTATGGAAATTGTCGTAATGTTTTGGATCTTTGGTAATCTTTCCATTATCAGGTTGTAATGTAGAAAACAAGGAGTTAAACTACAATTTCCCGACAACCTATGCATTTATGACAAAATATATTCATCGTAATATTCAGTTATGACAAAATAATTTCGTCATAATAAACACTTGTGACAAAATGTAGTCGTCATAGTATATAGTTATGACAAAATATAATCGTGGAATATGACGAACAATTCTCCTAAAGTCACTAGATTATGACAACTGTAATGACAAAATATGTCGTCATAACATCTCGGTTTGTCACAATAGACTACCTAGAACCTCAGCTATACCTAAAGCAAATGTGACAACCTTGTTTTAAATTTTTCTCACATTTGACCAATCCTAACCGGGATAAAATGACAAACCTTTGTGACAACACCTTTTGTCATATAATACATAATATGACAAAATGGGTATCTAATATGACAAAATTTCCTCGTAATAATAGGCCGAATTTGTTGTAGGCTGTCTGCGCCAAGCTAGAGTTTCCTCTCACTCCATCTATCTCTCATGCTCTAGGGCATCCTAATTTTGCTCGTTGTTAGTCTAGTAGTTGATCCGGCTCTCCTCCATACGTTCAATTGCTGATTGTATCTCTGCCAAATGGTCACCGTAGTCGTAATACTGTGGTGATGGTGGGTGTCCATCTCCATGTCTATTCTCCAGAAGCCACTCTAAATGCACTGTTGGTTTCCTAGCATTCTTCCATGCAACATAAGTAGGGCAAGCGACACTGATGAGGTTAACTCCCTTGGTTTTCATGTCGTTGACAACATAGATGATAGCAGGCTGATGATGGATAGGTCCTTCCTCTTACCATGTGTCCCACAAAGAAAATTCATAATCCTTTAGATGCTTGTCAATGTTTTGGGCTATGGTATGAACTTAGCCTCGTCTTGGTAGTCATCAAGGAAAAACAACAGACGTGTACCTCAGAAGGTTGTCTATCACCAACCATGTTAGGTGAACTCTCTAGTGATGTACCAACCATTGGGGGTCACCTAATCACCAACACTCTTCTGCCTCAAGCTAAAGGATGTTACACCAAAGTAGTGCCTAATAAAGGGAAGCTTAGTCATGGTGGGTTGGGATTAACCAGCAGAAAACACGACATGTGACTCCTTGTAAGTCTCGTTCAAAACTCCTGGAAGGTGAATGGTTGTTTTAATGGCTCCCAATATGGTCCAAGGCTAGCCACGGAGAGCGTCCTCCCCTATGATGGATGAGATCTCAAGATATTTTGTAAAGTTATCATAACTTTCCTTGAAGATCTATCCTGCCAATGGATTGGTGATGTAGATCATACTCGGGTGCTCGGTTGCTTCCATTGTTAATTTTTGCCAAGAACCCTCGAGTTAGGACATCAATGCTCTCTCCTCAATTGCTGAATAATGATAGGAGATCAACATCATTCAATATATGTCTCAATTGTGTTCCCCATCCTTGGTACTGGACGATGCCTTGCCAGTTTAGCTCTCCTTAATGATAAACAGGCAAGTTCTTCCATCTTGCTATCTTCATGGCACCAAGACTCTCATGGGGAAATTAGAGGAAGGATGCATGGGAGGCTCAGGCTCAGGCTTCCAATAGGTGTGTTGTACCCCCTAGTCAGCCCCTTTGAGCCGTGTGTTACCCTTTCTTTCGGTCTGCAATGAAAAATCACCATTTTGCATCTCTTAGAAGGTTCCACAGAGTGGTTTCTTGCATGTTCTCTGTTGTTTCTACTAAATATAATGTGAGAGCTGGAGGTAGTTCTTAATAAGTTGGGCAGGTGTTTGAAAAATGTGCAGAGGTGGTTGTTCTCTTAAGAAATGGAAAAAAATGAAAGAAAAACAAAGAAAAAAATGAAAGCAAAAGAGAGCCACCATCAAAAATCTAAATAGTGCCCATTAAGTAGTGTTTCTTAGCAGTCTGACTTAGAAATACTAACATTTATTTGACCTCCTTCGCTCTTGTGTTCTGAAAGATTTGAGTAATGCAGAATAGCAGAAAGAAAGTTACTGGTTTAATCGATTGTGAGTTTGTTGGGTTTGGAAATGTGGAGCCTTGTGCTATGAATGCTTCCACCACCTAAAAGGCCTTTTCCCCATGTCCAAGACCCTAGCCAATCATCTGAACCTGTGTCTAAGACCTCTGGATTAGTTAGTGGTGACACCTCATATGTGAACTCTAGCATTTAGAGGCTGCCTTCATGGTGAAGAGACGTTAGGGATTGAGAGAATAAGCATGCGCATTTTTTTGCATCAAATTGTCCTGACCCCACTGGTCGAGAGTGAGCGATTCATTTTCTCATATTCTCTATACTCTTTATCCCGGTGAGGACCTAGATTGCTCGGCCTTAATTCTGATATCTTGAGCTTTATGCATGAAGTGACTGTTTTGAATAAGTGGTTGGGTCAAGTCTATGTTGGTTGGTGAACAGAAGGGAACTCTTCCTTTGCTCGACTTTACTGCATTCGAATGTCATCTGTGGTGGTTGTCTAGGTTGTCGTTGGAGTTGCCCATGTGTTAATGATCGAAAGCCAGTATGATCCACGTGTTTTGTACCGATATGATATGCCCTAAAGCCTGCTTGATTGAAAGGTTTTGAGCTTACCTTGTGTCTGACTTGGTTTGCTTGGGGACAAGCAAACGGTTAAGTGTGGGGGAATTTGATAGACCATTGATTACACATGTTTTTACCCCTATTCTTGAGCCATTTGAGATGTCGATTCCCGTGTTTTATGCTGATTTCATGCTAGGTTGTTCTTGTTTGTGATATTTCAGGTCCTAGTACGTGAATGAAGATCTAGGAATGAGTTCGGGGTCGATTGGACGAAGTTTGGACGCTTGGCGAGAAGGTGAGAAGCCACACGGGCATGCCCAAAAGCCACACGGTCGTGTGGGAGACCCACTGTGGCCGTGTGAAGGCTCGGCAAAAGCCACACGGGCAGCCTGGACACTCACACGGCCGTGTGAGTCGTGGCCGCGTGGGAAGCCTGAAGTCACTTAACGAAACGCCGCGTTTTGCAAAGCCACATGGGCAGCTGGGGGAGTCACACAGCCGTGTGAGTCGGGATTTTCTGGTTTTAAGCCAATTTCCAGCCATAAGTGAGGGGATTCGAGTTTTAGAGAGACAGAGCAATTCCTAGAGAGAGAAAGCGACGAACAAGAGTTCCCAAGTGCCCTAGCTTGACCTTCATCACCATTGGAGCCCGGCTTGAGCTTGGAGAAGTGCCGATCGACGCCCAGGAGCAGAAATACATCCTTCACAGTATGGTTTCCGCATCTGAATCTACTTTTGCTTCTTTCTCCATGGACTAGTTCTCCCATTCATCTGGGTATGGAGAACCCTAGATTTGTATGTTAGGTCTGATTGTATGAACCCAAGTACAGATTCTATGTTTTGATTATATTCAACTGAGGTTTGAATGATTGAATGGCATGAATCCTGATCAAATTCCTGTTGTTTCTGCTTTAACCTAGAAAGAGAATATCTGCTTAGATTGATACAACACCCTTAATTGAAGGTAGTAAATTGGCGACTTTAGTCGAGGAGCCAATTCACTATTCTGTACCGAAGTTACTTCGGTGGAGGAGGTTTTGTTCATTAGGGCCTCAATCTGTTTACTCCGGTGGAGGTTAGTCGCCCGCTAGAGACTCAGATTGAGAGGGTCTGAAGACCTTTCGTCGAGACTTCAGACTGTTTAAGAACCTTCTGCAGTAAAACTATCTTAGAAACTGAACTTGGTAATGGCAATCCGGCTTAACTGCAGTCTAGGGGGAACCATATCCGGGTGACCTCTCTCGACTTGAAACAACCGTTTAACTTGCTTTGTGTTTTTGTTTGTTTAAACCTGTACTTAAGTTTTACTGCTAGATAATAAGAATTCACTGAGTAGTCATCACATCTAGGACCCGGGTTGACATTAAAACCCAAACCCGCTATACTATGCTTTAGGAAGTGGTTTCACTTGGCCATTTTCTAGAGTGACAGTAGGAGTGAGTCAACTATCGATCTCCATCACCTCGTATTCTGGTAGTAGTTGTCCACTCATGCTACTTTATCTCCTGCTATCCAAATATAGCCTTCCGTTATTACTCTAGGATCCCCTAATGAAGAGGATGTGTGAACTCATCTCCCTCAAGGATTCCTCCTATCCAATCACGATTGTTGGCTCCCTCCTATTGAGTCATGCAGACCATCAGAGTGCTAAAGGCTCTGAATCTTCCATAGGTGTACTAGGATGCCTCAACCCTCCTGACGAAGAAGCATCATTGTCTCCTTTTTCCTTCTTATGTCGTCCAATCCATGGAAGGAACTCGACATTTTCCTACTCAAAAGAACCCTTAATAATATAAATCAAAGGGGATAACCCCGCACTTTAAGAGCGTGGCTTCTTCCATAAGCTAATCTTATAACTTCTCATGTATGGTAATGAAGCATATTTGATAAAAAAATTATGCATTTTCCCATATTTGATACATTTTCTCCTTCTATTGAAGCATCTTTGGTCATTTCAATGATATTTCTTGTCTAAATCACAATTATTTGATCAATGAGCTTTAAATAGACTTAGGTAATATTCTTTTACTATTTGATGACTTCTTGGTATATATTTTATGGTTTTGAAGGTACAAACCAAACTAATGAAGATTGGATCAAACATTGAAGAACTCTGGAGGACCAAATGAACTACAAAGAGAAGTTTAAGGAGTTTTCACGAGAAAGAAATGGTCCAATGATAGAGAAGTCAACTAGAAGTTATGAGATTATGTCAAGAAGAGCCCACAAAAGGAAGACTCAACCAATTTTGAAGTAATAAAGAGTGGTGGCCAAGCAACGAGTCCAACCACCACCACCCAAAGTTCTGCCCAAATCGTGAGGAATTGAAATCCATGGATCAAGAAGTCCAACCCATGAAGAACCAGAGTAGCAGGTCCAACCACCGTTATACCTCCGCCTTCCCTTTATCTTCTTGAACAATTTTCCTAAGTTTAGGAGACTCTTTCTTAGTCGGTTTAGGTTGCTTTAGGCCGGATTCTTCCCTATAAATAGAGGGCATGATTCCATTGTAAGAGTAAGGATGCAAAAAGACACAATTCTCTTTAGCACTATGCACGAGTCCTTAGCTTATTCGAAGTACAGAGGTCTGCCGCTAAGGAGATGTTCTCATCGTAAATGGTGGTACCTTCCTTCTCCTCTATAAAGCTAGTCAAAATTGATGGATGTTATCTTGTTTATTGTTATGTGAATAAATGTTATGATTTCATCGCATGCTAGTGTTTGTCTATTAATTTTGATGCCTATGATGATCATTGATGCTTGATTGTATTTGATGCTTATGATCATACCATTGATGCTTATGATTCTATTGTATACTACTATATGCATTGTGCTTAGTATTGCCTAGATTGTCAAGAAATTACCTTCTAGGGATACCCCATTGATGCTACACGAGTATGGGAGGATTGATCACCCATCTATGTTTCGAGTAGTCTTAATGCTTGTTTTTTATATCATTGATACAATATACTATAGTTATGGTTCGTAGAAGCCCACATTCATTAGGTAATGACATGAAGTGAAAGCACACGTTAGCTAGTTAAATCTCTATCTCAAGAGGTGTGTGCACGGGTAGAGAGTGGGCTTAGAGGAAGGGAAAGGGTATTACCATATATGAATGATCAATGCATGATGTGAATGAGCCCTAGTTTGCATGATCATCTTAGAGTTCACAATTTATTACAATCACGTATCTTTACTTTTAAGCATCTATAAATCGAGAAACCCTAAAAACCTTTACTCTTAGTGTTTGTTTGTTCAATTCATGCATGTCATGATTGTTGGTGTGAGTAGTTGTGCATTAGAAGACCTCGAGGAATACAACTCTAGTATGCAGGGTGGCAAGCTACGAGATGAGAGCTTGGTCCGATGACGTCATATGGAGTCGGAGAATGCGATGTGGGAGGATACCGACATAATTCGATGGAGCTATCCTATGTTCGACTTTGAGGGCAATATTGATTCTGCAGAGGAGGGGAATGATAGAAACCTAGCCTAGCTGGACGGGTAGGGGCGGATTGGTCTTATGACCCGAATGGATTATTATTTATTTATTTTGTCAGACTCTATTTAAGGATTGATTGAGATCATTGAAGGAAGGAAAAAAGAACAATCATTGAAACCATATCATCCTTTATCCCTCTTCTCTCACAATCCTTAATTTTTTCTAAATACCTAATCCCTAATTTTGTTCTTCTCCGACTCTTCTATTCTTCCTCATTCTAATCCTTAATTCTATCATCTGTCATGTGCCCACAAGTATAGAGATGACCAAGACAACAATAAAAAAGGTGCTTCATAGACAGGGATGGCCATTGCAATGGCTTCATGATTGGTGGATCAAAATATAATGTAGGATGGGTTGGTGTGGTCGGCTCACAGCAGAAGAATCAGGAAGGAAGTAGGCTTTTACTGGTTAAGCTTACAACAAACCGAAAGTGGAACATTAAGGTGGGCAGAAAGGCAAAACAAAAACAAAACAGATAAATGAAGATAAATGAGAATCATATGCTCAGTTACATGTATTTATCATCACCCATTTACCCCCAGCATCACACAGCACTATGAGTAGCCCATATGTTGAGGACAAAAGAACACAAAAGTGGTGGTGGGAAATGAGCTGTGCAGAATTGAGACACACATGTAGTGAGTTCCTCTTCCTCCCCTTTGCCTGTGACCTATGAACTAACTGCCACACAAAATGGCCAATATTGCAGCTCCATGATAGGGCACCGTCCTGTGTTTTCAGTTTTGACAACTCTTTATTTCTCTGCTTCAGAACGTTCCGATATTATATTATTAGCTGATTCCGCATATTATGTGGGTAAGCTTTGAATTATGCCCTCCTGTCCTGACCTCCGCACTATGGATGGAGAGGACCACAGCACTACTCTTTCCGAAATGGGTTTGTTCGGCAACACAAATCTATCTTCTTCTCCATTTACTTTTGTAGGCAGATCAGAGTCATCAGACCATTCTACAGCCATGCTACCCGTATGAAACATGGGTTACAGATTGCTAGTTAGCCAAAACAGTCGGGATCCTTAAGACAAAACTCTTCACGCAAATGGACAAACAGCAATCCTTGCACGAAGCCTGCAGCCTTAAATTCGAGACCCGCAAATGTATATTTGGGTTACTGCTCTTTGGTGGGATCAGGTCAACTTAATATCAGCATTCTATTAGTCTGCCTGTTTGGGGTCGTTTGTGGTGGTTTCAGAATTGGTCGTCATCACTATGGCTGCAGTCACTCCCCAAACTTCTTCCCTATCAGCCATTTTGCGGTTTTGAATTCAATGTCAATGCTCCATCACAATCTTTCTACCTTCAGTATAATACAGCGGAGTTTGCATAGTCCTGAACATCAACATTAACCTCTTCCTTCATTCTATTGCAGCAAGCAAGGCTACAGAGCAATTGCTTAACAATGCATTTTCTAGTGAATAACTTATGAATTTGTACATAGTAAAAGCAGGAGGATGGGGTGAAGTGAAGCAGGCTGCTCTGGAAAGTAAGGTATTCCCATGGAGAAGTTTGGTTGTTTTATGCAGCATAAGTCGCTGTTAGATACTCAATGATTTCTGCACTCTCAAACATCTGTACACCTGTGTTAGGGTCTTCAAGATAAGGTGCCTGTCAAGAATAACATCCAGTAAGACCAATTCATCGTAGAAAAACTCAGAACGGACATTTCTCAGCAGGCTAAGAAGAAGGAAGAAGGAAGCAGGAAGATGGATCATGAGATATAAGAAACCTGAAAATGTCCAGTTTTTGCATATAGTATCTGCCGTTTTGGGCTGCCACGGGCACAACTGCCAGAAGTGAAAAGGAGGGACATTTCAGTGCAAGTGCCAAAGATTACCAACTGGCCACATTGTTAATACACTGACGGCATTTCAAAATTAGCTGTGCATTCCAAAGCTGACTTTTTCATTGGAAGTATCTGAATCTCCAAAGTACCCCAAACAAGAAAGAGAATCATTTATGGTTGTTACCTTCGATATATATGTGGCAATTCCAGCTCTACGAGAACTTCACGGACAAGCTTACAGAATGGAGAACCCTAAAAACAGAGGTATAATGACTATTCATTACTTGTACAATCTTTGGCACAAACACTGTTCATTCAATACAAGATAAAAAGTATGTGACTGGAACAAACCTCATACGCCCATAACTCTAGAGGTTTCGGAGGCAATTTGGATGGAATATATGATTGTCCCTGTATAGATGGAATTGAAAATGGTGGTTGAAGAACCCTTGAACTCAAAGAGAAGTTTTTAGACAGGCAGCATATGATCAATATTTTCCAAATAAACATTTCAAAGAGATGAAAGCCAAGCAGGTGATTCTTTATTGAAATGATCAAGAAAATATGCCAAGTATTACCCTTCCCATACGACCAATCATAGCAAAGCCTGCAGTCAAAGTCTGCACGAAAAATAAGAGTAGAGAGGCAACCGGCAATAAGGCCAATGCAAATGAAAATACAAATCTTCATGAGAGAAGATGGAGATGTAAAGGCAAAGTGCTCACCGTTAGAAGACCAAGCGACAACATCAGAGGAACTCGTCCATCACCTAGTATAAACAAGTGCAACAGGTAAATATCTCACAGTGATAGAAGTAAAGAAAAACATCGATATCTGGCAAAATATGGGAAAGTTCATTCCTTGTTTATTTTTAAGATGAGTTAAGAGGATGAAAGGAAAATCAACAACGAAACATTAACAAACGGATGACCATCAAATTCCACATTTGGACTAGTTTAGTAATTTGACAAGTGCTTCTAAGCCTACATGCAAAAGCCTACCATATTTATCAACCAGATACTTGATAATCGCATCTGACTCGTACATTGAAACTCCAGTATTTGGATCAACCTGCATTTCAAACAAGGTTCATTTAGTGAAAAAAGATAAAAGAAGGCGAGATTGTATTCTTCTAAATTATAGTTCGACAACAAGCAATAACAAGGAGATTAAGATCAAACCATGTAGGGGAATTGCTGCTTGCCCCCCAACTCAACAGCCTTGGGGCGAAAATTGGGACCATTCCTTGGGCAGGGGTAAAATAGGACATCAAGATCCAAGACAGCAACAATTTCCCTAACCTTAACACAAGGAAATATGTCAGCCAACATATCAGCAGGTTTATAGATAAATGGATATTACAAGGAAAGAAAACACCGAGAGCAGATAAGTCAGCAAGGTACAAAAGAAGGTCAACAGCCACCAATTAGCCAAAACTCTCATGCCCTTAAGACCTCACCTCCTCTTAATAAAATTCATAAGGATAATATAATGACCCATTGCTCACTGGACCTAGACTAGAGAATATACGAAGCTAAACATCTCCAAAGATAATACAAGGTCTACAGTATTAAGAACCACAATACCTTTCGACAGAAAGGACAGCTGAAGATTTGCAGGTTGGTTGCCACCGTTCGAACATGGAGAAAAGAAGTACAAGCATTCAGTATCTCGATTCCTCACTATATAACCTTGATAAGTTCATAAAAGAATGAAATTAAGAGAAAAGCCAGTAGAATTGTGTTGCTTCCTCTTTCCTTTTCTAAGATGCATTTCTGAAATTGATCATAAAACAAAGAAATTAAAAGACTTAGAACTTCCATACCTTTCAAACTCATATATCATGATTGGCTGCTCCGGACGAGTTCCTAGCTTTGAGGTCTCTTTCACTTTGTAACCTATATAATCAAGGGCCAAAATTTTGAACTAGACGGTTATGATCAAGAACCTGTTATGGCCATCTTCGAAAATCTATTATATCTAGGAATGGAATATCAGAGTGGAGAAAGGAGGGCGATTTTGATGTCTACCTGCTAGTTCTAGTGCATATTGATCAGCAGGAATCTCGTCTTTGGACACGAAAGACACTGAGTAGCTGCCACGGTACAAAAATCAACACCGAACTAGAATTACAATCCCATTTTCGTCAAACCCTAGCAGTTCAGGAGGCACTAGAGAGCACAATTAGCAATCAGGGAAGGAAACAAAAAAGCGATTTCTCAATTGAAATTGACGATGAAGCAGGGAAGTAAATGTCAGAATCCCCACAGCGAGAGCCAAAAAAAAAAACCAATTACCCATTGAGGAAGACACCAGTGCCGAGGCGGAAAAAGAGGGCGAGAGCCGCTCCGGCAACATCCAAACCCTTGTCTGGTCGGACAGCAAACCTCTTTGGCTCCGGCGTCTTGAAACCGGCTGGGGCAGCAAATGAGGGCGCTGCTTCTTGTTCTTCTCCTCTAGTGGCTGCCGTCGTGGCGCCAGAGCTCGGAGGTGTCTCCGATGAGGAGGGCCTGGTTGCCGGAATGGAGGTCCTGATTCCGGCAGGTACACTGCTGCGGCGGGAAAATGTTCGCAGGATTGGAAACTGGGAGACGTTGATGACTCCGGCCATGGTCGCCGATCAAAGTCCAGTGCTCTTTGGACCGGAGCGGCTGTTCCGATGAGTGACTGGTAGCTGCTGAAGTTGAGACAGAGAGTTGGGTAGTTTTGTGCCGTTGACTGTTGTTCGTAGAAAAGTTTGATTTCCCCAGTTCACTTCACGCTGAGGGATGGAAGCATTGGAGATTATGACAGGTAATTTAGTTGAGTCCCTTCGTTTGATTTTCCAGTACTGTTTTTTGTTTTGTCTGTAATATTTCGACCGACGATGTTTGGTCCACAGACCCACTTTGTACTGTTTGTACTAGCTTCAGGCCCAACAAACGAAACGCATTCATCCCGATTTGATGGGCTCTCAGTCTCGGGCCCAGGCGAATTGGAGTTTAGGCTCTGACGAGTTACATCTCGTCTACTTTACTGGATTTCGGATCCGCTTTTAAAAAAGATACTTCGTATAGAACGAGATAATCAAGATACACTAAATTCAATTAGCCTACCAAAGTCAGGAATGAAAATCGAACCCTATCAAACTGGGGAACAATGAAAGGGCTTTTCTGGCCACCATATGGGCCACCCTATTACGAGCACGTCCAACAAAACAAACACAAGAATGGAGGAAGCATTGTCTCAACACCTTGATCTCACTCAAAATGGCCCCACCACGAGCATCCAAACACGAGCCCTCCTTCACCTTGTCAAGCACCACCTGCAAAGACGACGTCCTGCACCCCCATATCAAGAGCCCACCGGATCTCATCCCTAAGGGCTAGGAGCTCCACTAAGAAAGGATCCTGCACATCCGGATACACAGATGCATCTTCCCCCAGCAGTGTCCCCGATGAATCCTCTCGAACCCAACCACCTGCACCATGAGAACCTGAACACACGGCCCCATCTGTGAACACCCACAACGCCCCCTCCCTACCCTGCACCCCACCATGAACCCCCCTCAGCCCATCCCCAGAGGCAGGGAAAGATGTTAACCCAATAGGAAAGGCACCGCCTCCCATTCTGCCACCTGTCTACTGAACTGAGAGAGCAACACGGCAGGGGTAAACAACGTGGAGTCAAAAACCACCCAATTCCGAGCCTTCCATATACGCCAGGGCAATCACTCGCATTACCAATCCCCCCTCCAAATTCGGCTGGTAAAGAAATCGTCACCAGAAGACTTCAACCGAGGCAGTCGTGAACTCATCTCGAAGAAAATCTAGCCCATACGCCTCCCAGCATCCACCCGCCAACCGACAATGAAAGAATAAGTGCTCAGCATATTCCACTTCCCATAAGCATGTGGGGCACAGAAGGACCCTTTCCATACCCCAAACCGATAAAGCTTCACCAGTGGGAACCACTCTCCGCAACAATTTCCAAAGGAAGAATTGAAACTTGGGGGGCACTGGGGCACTCCAAACCTTACCCCCACAAACCTGAATCCCAAATTGCAGGACCCAACTTGGCATGAACCTCTTGACCCTGCCTAAGACCTGCCGCAAGATGGTACGCTGACCGAGCAAAATATGATCTGAAGAGGTCATGATGCCAGACCAGCCTATCCTGGATTGGAACCCATGGCAAAGGAATAGCTCTAATTTGCCTTTCTGGCCTGTTTGAAATGCTGAATGCGGGATAAACATCTAGGTAAGGAAAAAGAGTACATGATTTTTGCTACGTTTTTGTGTACTTTTTTTATTAAAACTTTACTAAGAAAACTCAGCAGGAAAGAATTTTGGTTAAAGGAAAAAAAATGTGGTGCACACTACAACTCCAGATTCTCAAGTTGTGCAGGAAATTATAAGGATGTTGCTATGGTCATTCCCGTTTCTCCTACGAAAGGTGGGAGGAACAAGAAAAAAGGTAAATGAGAATTCTCTGCTGGAATCTTAGTGGATTTAATGCCCCTGAGAAGAATAGATACTTAAATAATCAAGTAGCTAGATTACAGATAGAGTTTTTTTTTGTAGTTTTAGAAACATTGGTGTTGGAAATTAATGCAAAGGATATATTAAGTAAGCAGTTTAGTAGTTGGAAGCATTTAAATAATTACAAGTACTCTCAATCTAGTAGGGTTTGGCTTTTCTGGAAATCGTCTTTGCAAGTGAGTGAAGTTGATATGGGAGAGCATTTCATTAATGTTCGAGTTATATCATGTACTTAAACTTGTTTGATTTCAGCTATATATAGCCCTAATAAAAACAAGTGGAAGGGCAGTGCTTTATGATGAGTTGAGAAGGACTCGGGTGACTGTAGAGCCTGGGATTTTCTTAGGAGATTTTAATGATATCAAAGATAGCAATGAAGCTTACAATGGTCCTTTAGTCAGAGTATTATCGATTTCAGGCAATGGATATTACATATGAAGCTAACAGATCATAAGGCTATTGGCTCGTGGTTTACTTGCTGGAACAAGCAGTCTAATAATCCTATTGCTAGAAAAATTGACTGAGTTTTAGTTAATGAGAAGTGGTTGGATGTTTTTCTTGTTCTAGAGACAACATCCTTAGTACAGTTGGATTTTGAGAGAAGCTTGGCAGGTAGAGGCAGCTGGGGTACCATATTATGTCTTGTACAAGAAGTTAAGTGAATTGAAGGGGAAGCTTAAGAGTTTTAACCGAGCTGTCTACTCTGATATTTCCATTAGAACTCGAGAAGCGGAACAACAACTAGTGCTAATGCAAAATGTTGTATTAGCAGACCCCTCAAAGGTTAATTCTCTAGCTGTATTAGAGCTAGAGAGTGTGTGTAAAGAGCTGCAGAGTGCATAGGAGTCTTTTTATAGGCAGAAGTCAAGAGTTTAGAGGATAACTCAGGGTGATGCTAATACAGGTTTTTTCCATAGTGTGGTTAAGTCAAGAAACCATAGACAAACAATACAAAAGCTAATTTCTAATGATGGAAAAGTGGAAAAAGAAGTGAAGGAGATGGGAAAACTGGCAGTGGAGTTTTACAAAGGTCTATTGGGGGCAGTTGATGGTAATGTTCAACCATTCCCAGTTGAGTTTTTTGCCGAGTTGCTGGTAAACAAACTGACAGAGGAGAAAGCTGCTTGCTTGACTTTGCCTATTACTATGGAGGAAATAAAACATGTCTTCTTTAGTATGGGAAGAGATAAAGCACCAGGTCCTGATGGGTTTGTTGCTGAATTTTTTAAGTTGGATTGGGAGGTGGTAGGTGTTGATGTGGAGAACATTGTTCTGGAATTCTTCAAAACGGGGATCATGCCTAAACAGGTAAACTCTACAGTTATTGCACTTATCCCTAAATTGCCTGTTGTGGAGAAAATGAAATATTTTTGGCCTATTTCTTGCTGTAATGTGATTTATAAGGGTATTTCAAAGTTGCTCTCACGTAAACTGTCAATGGTGTTACCCAAACTAATTGGAAGAAGTATGTCTGCCTTTGTGAAGGGGAGGCTGATTAGTGATAATTTTCTAATGGCAACAGAACTTGTCAAGGATTATCATAGGAGCAGAATTTCTTCTAGGTGTGCACTAAAGATAGATTTGATGAAAGCCTTCGACTCTGTCAATTGGAAGTTTCTTTTCACAGTTAAGTCTGCTATGGGAATGCCAAGTAGTTATGTAAAGCTTGTGGAATCTTGTGTATCCACTCCAATGCTCAATGTTTTTTTTAATAGAGGGCTATGTGGGTATTTTCCGGCTGCTAAAGGTTTGAGGCAAGGGGATCCTATGTCCCCTTACCTATTCACGATAGCAATGGAAGTGTTCTCATGCCTCCTTGCTCGAGCAGTGCATGCCAAACAAATTCCCTTCCATCCTCGTTGTAAAAGTCTGGAGATCACACATATCTGCTGGTCTTTACGAATGGGAGAACTCATGCAGTTTTTGGTATTCAGCAGGTTCTTAACAAGTTCTATGAAGTCTCAGGCCTAAAGTCTAATCCACAGAAATGCCCGTTGTTTTGTGCTGGGATCTCGCAAGATAAAGAGCAAGTATTATCTGATCAGACTAGGTTTCCTTTGGGGAAGCTACCTGTTTGATATTTGGGAGTGTCGCTTCTGTCAGGTAAACTGACTTCTGCAAACTGCGAATGCTTGGTGGACAAAATCACAAAAAGGATTCATACATGGCAGGCCAGGTTATTGAGTTACGCAGGTAAATTGCAGTTAATTGATTCGGTTGTTACTAGTTTATTCCTGTTGATGTGACTTGAATCGGACTATCAGCCGCTACGACTGGTAATCGGGGGTCTCGCTGTAATCTGTAATCTGTAATCTCCTCAATATAGTGAAACTGGCTCTCTCTCGCCCGTGGACGTAGCTAACACACATCGTGTTAGTGAACCACGTAAATCGTGTGTCGTGTTTTCGATTCTCGCTTTCGTATTCTTGCTTTATTGATTCCTGCGATTTCCCAATCCGTAGCAGCGCGTTTATAACAAGTGGTATCAGAGCCGCGGCTGGAAATCAGGCTACGGTTTTCGATTCAGAAGAATGACGTCGGTGAACATGACGATCGAAAAGTTCACGGGGAAGAACAGCTTCGCTATATGGCAGATCAAGATGCAGGCTTTATTAAAACAGCAAGGGCTGTGGCGGCCGTTGTCTGCGAAACAGAAGAAGGAAGCGGTCGATGACGATGAGTGGAATACCCTGGAGGAGAAGGCCCACTCGACCATCATGCTATCGTTGTCTGATGACGTCATCATTGAAGTCGGTACTGAGAAGACTGTCGCGGGCTTGTGGTTGAAACTAGAGTGTCTGTACATGACTAAGTCTCTAACCAACAAGCTGCATTTCAAGCAACGGTTGTTCAGCTTGAGGATGCAAGAAGGTACGCCGTTGAGGGAACATCTCGAACAGCTTAACTCTATTTTGCTGGATCTGCGTAATATAGATGTTCAAGTTGATGACGAGGATGCTGCCCTAATCCTGCTGTTTTCTTTGCCGAGTTCATATGAGAATTTTGTTGATTCTTTTATTGCTGGTAAAGAAAGCGTGTCGTTGGAGGATGTCAGGTCTGCTCTTCATACGAGAGAGATTAGGCATAAGGCGTCCGGATCTGGTACAGGTGGTGAGGCATCGGGTTTGGCTGTTACAGGTGGAAAGGGAAAGAAGAAATCTGGTAAAGGGAATTCTAACAAGAATTCCAAGGGTCCCGGTCCACAACCAGGTGATGCTTGTCACAACTGTAAGGAAGTGGGGCATTGGAAGTACAACTGCCCCAAGAGAAGAGGGCAACAGAAGCGATGACTACTCAGCGAATTCTTATTATTTAGCGGTGAAACTTTAGTGCAGGTTCAAACAAGCAAACAAGCAAGCAATTAAACGGTTGTTTTCAAGTCGAGAGAGGTCACCCATATATGGTTCCCCCTAGACTACACTTAAGCCGGATTGCAATTTACCAAGTTCAGTTTTTATGATAGTTATACTGCGGGAGGTTCTTAAGCAGTCTGAAGTCTGGTCTAAAGGTCTCCAGACCCTCTCAATCTGAGTCCCCAGAGGGCGACTAACCTCCACCGGAGTAAACAGATTGAGGCCCTAACGAACCAAACCTCCACTACCGAAGTAAATTCGGTACAGAATAGTGAATTGGCTCCTCGACTAAAGTCGCCAATTCACTACCTTCAATTAAGTGTGCTCTATCAACCTAGGCAGATATTCTCTTTCTAGGTTAAAGCAGAAACAACAGGAATTTGATGAGGATTCATGTCATTCAATAAATCAAACCTCAATTGAATATAATCAGATCATAGAATCTGTACTTGGGTTCATACAATCAGACCTAACATACAAATCTAGGGTTCTCCATACCCAGATGAATGAGGGAGTTACTCCATGGAGCGAGAAGCAAAAGCAAGTTCAGATGCGGAATCCATACTGTGAAGGATGGGTTTCTGCTCCTGGTCGTCAATCGGCACTTCTCCAAGTGTGAGCCGAGCTCCAATGGTGATGAAGATCAAGCTAGGGCACTTGGGAACTCTGGTTCGTCGCTTTCTCTCTCTAGGAATCGCTCTGTCTCCCTAAAACTCGAAACCCTTGATTTTTAGCCTTCTTTTCCCTTAAGAAGCTGTCTGTCGCGATCCCCAGCCCAAATAACCGGTCGGGTATTTTGGGTGGCGACCGGGTATGTGCAAAACGCACCGTCTGGTAACAGGGCGAAATCCCCGGTCATGTCCAAGAATCCCCGACCGGGGATTTTTGCCTCCTGCCCAGGCCCCCTTCTGTTTCTCAAAGACGCCCAAAGCGTCAGATCCCCGGTCGTCGTCAAATAATACCCGGCCGGGTATTTCTGATCATGGCCGGGTATTTTTGCTCTCCAGCACATTCCTAACCTCACTTGCTCCTTTTCACCCGAATCTCGTTCCTCCGCCTCGATGCCAACGCTAAGCCCTGAAATATGACATAAACGCACAACCTAGCGTGAAATCGGCTTAAAACACGAGAATCAATGTCTCAAACGGCAAAATAATAGGGGTAAAAACATGTGTAATTAATGGTCTATCAAAAGTAAGAAATCATAAGAGCTATACAGTAGCAATGCAATAAAACTCATATGATGTTTTATGAAGACATGACAAAGGAGGAGAAATTAAGAGATATCTTGTTTGGCTTGTCATAAAGGTCTTCGCAGAATGATTGCATTGACTATGAAAAGACTTACTTTCATATGGTGGATTTGACTTTTGGTTGTATATAAAATTATATATGCGTCTAAGGAATGTTATTACAATGCACTGATTAAGCATGCCTAATGATGATATTGATATGAAACTCTCTAAAGGAGTTAGTTTGCTCGAAGAAAATATGTTAAGGTTCTAGGGAACATTGCTCAACTCATTAAACCTCCTAAATCAAATCAAAAGAGCATCGACAAAATGATTGTCTCAATGAGTTCCCTACAAGAATGGAAGAATACGTTCGAGACAGGCAGATGCATTTACCTAAAATACCTTCCAATGATTGTTTCATGTGTTCTGACAAAGAATCATTGGTTGAAGATACCGAATTTCTTATATTAATGTGTTGAAAAATTCTTTACCTCCTTTGGGTTGTCGACACATTTATAAACAATGATCTTATGTTGAGACTGAAGGTATAAATATGTTTGAAATCTAGAAGAGTATTCAAAGATAATAAAATATTGCATGACTTGAAACTCTAGAAGAGTATTCAAAAGTAATTGAAAAAAAAAAACTTGAAAGAACGAGACTTTCCCTTGGATTGAAAATCAAATATTTGCAAGAAACAGTCAGTCATATGTGCAAAAGTTTGAAATTGAATAAAATGGTCTCTGATGTTTAATTTGTGATCATTTTGTATTAAGTGCAAAATCTTGTTACCGAGTCGTTACAAATTAATGGTTTGTGATCGTTTTAATTCTCTCGATCATCCTTTGTCTTATTTTGGCAACTCATCATTGAATTAACTATGCATTGACCTTAAATATTAGAGAAAACATAAGCATTTTGAATATCAATGACTGGTTAGAATAAAAATAGGTTTACCACCTCTCCATCCTTTATTTTCAACTTGTTTAAATATGTTAATGTTTTAGTGGGGATTAGTGGTCAGGTTTGAACTTTAACTCTCGTCAAAGGAGTTGTTCGTCGACATCATTTTTATCACAAAAAATTATTATAGAATCATAATTTATTTTGAAAATTTAATAATTTTTAATACACAACAAATTAGATCGAATTGAATAACCTAAAGCTCGAGTCGAAGACAAAAGCCTCTCGGACGATATCACATCTCGTCTGAAGCATCATAAAGTCCTTTCCCATTGAGACAAAGTTAGTGGTTTAACATTTGGTGGTTAATCGTTGTAAAACTGTTGGTTAACCATTGATAGAACCGTTCATGATATATAACAAACAAGACTTGTATGACACCCTAATTTAAGAATGAAGTTATCATTGACCATAAAAAAATTTCAAATTCATATCATCATCAAAATATCAAACAAATCATTCAAACCGTCTCACAAATGAAATCATAATTTTTTTTAATTCAAGTTAAAAATTATGGTCCCAGTTGGTAGTGGACCATGTAAAGTCGATAACGAGGTTGGAAAATGAGAAGAGGAAGCATAAATAAAATTAATAATTTTGGTTTGATGGTCTTAGTTGACGTTAATTTTTTTTTTAATTTGTGGTTAAAATATTGAATTGGTTGACTAGTTAAACCGTAGTGGCTCATTTGGTTTTATGTTGAACTGTGAATAATCATTTGGTCCATTGTTAACCGTCCAACTAATGAACCGAACCGCTATCATAACTTGTTTTACGGTTCTACAAGCTCAGTCATTTGATGGATAATTTACTCATTCTTATCATTTATGCATCTTTTATAGGGTGAGTAACATAAACGATCATAAATTTTTGCACTTAGATACGGTAACAAATGTTTGTACTTGGAACAAAATAGTCACAAATTAAATAGAGTGACCATTTCATACAAGTTCAAAAAATTTTACCATGTTGTTACAAATTAAACTTTTTGGTGACCATTTTGTACAACGTTTAAAGGTTTGAATGAAACCTGTAACATCCCGAACCTTTTCCTGACAAGATACTGTCCGCTTTGGGCCTCGACCCTCACGGTTTTCGACTTGGGATGCAATTCAAGGTAACTTCCCATAAGGTCACCCATCCTTGTTGTGCTCCACACTGAGCACGTTTAACTTCGGAGTTCTCACAAGAACTCCTCCATTACACCCCAAAACGCGTCATGCCAGTTAAAGCCGGTTTCCTACTCTTATGAACCATGGATCTCTCCCGTGCTTTGTCGATGTGACATTTGCCTAAGGTGTTACATAAACCAGGCTCTGATACCACTTGTAACATCCTGAACATTTTCCTGACAAGATACTGTCCGCTTTGGGCCTCGACCCTCACGGTTTTCGACTTGGGGTGCAATTCAAGGTGACTTCCCATAAGGTCACCCATCCTTGTTGTGCTCCACACTGAGCACGTTTAACTTCGGAGTGCTCACAAGAACGCTCCATTACACCCCAAAACACGTCTTGTCAGTTAAGGCAGGTTTCCTACTCTTATGAACCATGGATCTCTCCCGTGCTTTGTCGATGTGAGATTTTGCCTAAGGTGTTACAAAACCATTGTTATAACAATGGTTGTCAACAAATGTCATATAATTGATTCTTGTCTCATTAAAACGATGGAGACTTCTTGCTCCACATTAGTTGTCAATATCCTTTGAAGAATCCATCTTTGTAAATGGTGGTGGAACAATTTACCACATAAAATTAACATAAATTCATTTATTGTAATTTAAGGTTCCTGAATAAAACCAACTTGTACATTGGTTTTTAGTAGTGATAACTTCTTGCCATGCTGCTAAAATGATCTTGCTACATGCAGCTGGAATGTCTTTAAAAAGTGGTTGACATATTTATGCACAAGCATGTGCTACATGATGTTTGATATAGAACCCAATAATATGAATGTAAACCCACCAGTATTCATCAAGAAGTATTTTCTTCATATTGAACATTTGTTCATATATGTCCATAAGTGAATCAATTGTGCAACCAATCTTGCAAACTTCAGACTGCAGGTGGAGTGATCATTTAGTTGTTGCATTGACTATAATCATAAATAACTATCTAATCCATATGGTGCATTGATCCAATAATTTCACAGTGCATATACCAACTCACTTATTACATTCATTGGTGATATCATAATCAACTTTCCTTGAGAATAAGCGGCACAAGAAAAATCTTTCATTGTGAAATTTTGCTTATATTCTCACTAACGATTTATACAAATCCTCGATTATATTTTGCATCAAAATTTAGCCGGGATGGTCCAACCGGCCATGTCAATATATCAATTTACAACATACGTAAACTCCAGGTTTATGGGTTGTTTGATTACCTTTTGCTTCAGGAAGAAGGATTAACTACGAGTAGAATTCAACACAATGACATATTTTATGCAAGGCATTAAGAATAAGGATACCAAAAGGGGACGCGATCGAAGTGGCACGACTCTTTGACCTCAATTGGTATGTTGCAGGTTCGTTGATAACGATGTATTTGCACATGTTTGCACCCTTAGTTCTTATCCGTTTGCGGCTAGTATTCGTGTATTTTTGGGCCTTTTTACGCTGGGTTGTGCTACTTTGTCATATTTCAGGTCCCAAACGTTGAAGGAAAGGCCAAGCATGAGATTCGGGGCATATGGAGGTCATTCGGTCGAGCTGGGAGCAAAACACGGGCAGGAGGCCTGATAAACACGGCCGTGTACACAAACGAGCACCCCAGTGTTTTTATGTGCGAGAGTTGAACAGATGGAAAAGCAAAACACGGGCTGGCCTAAAGAAGAACACGACCGTGTCCCCGGCCGTGTTATTTATGCCGAGGCTGGGTCGAAGGGAGCTCCTGCCATGTCCAAAACACGGGCGAAAGTGAGTAAAAACACGGCCGTGTCCCTCTTTAGGCAGAACCATGTTTTGAGCGACGCAGGCGTGTTTTTAACACGTGGCAAAGGCACGGACGTGCAAAAGCAAAACACGGCCGTGCCCTCGACCGTGTTTTGCCCAAGATCAGGTTTTTGAGGCAGATTCGAGCCTAAGGAGAGGGAGTCGACTTTTTGGAGCAAAAACGGAGTTTTAGAGAGAGAAAGTGCAAAGAACAAACCCTAGGAGCTATTTGGAGTGGATTTCTCACCATTGAAGCCCATATTGCATCCCTAGGAGTGAAGTTTACATCCCATAGCAGATTTTCCTCATCATTATGAGTATGACTACTCTGATTTCTGTTTTTCTCTCTCTCTCTATGGAGTAGAACTTTCTCTCACTTGGGTATGAAGAACCCTAGTTCCATGTGTTAGGAATCTTGATTGTAATTACGTTTGGATTGTGATGTTGCTTGAATATAATCGATTGAAGTGTTTTGATTGAGTCAATTGAAGTCTAATCACCTTTTATTAATTTCTGCTGCAACCTGAGATAGATAGAATCTGATTAGGTTGTTAGAGCTTCTTCAATCGGTAGTAGTGAATCGATTATAAGAGAGTTATTCGATTCATTGCTTTGTGCTGGAATCTAATTCCAGTAATGGAATTCTGTGTTCATTGCCTCAGCATTCTATCCCGGTGAAGACTAGTCGTCTGCCGGGTAGTTTGACTGAGAGGGCTTGGTCAGCTTAAGAGATTCCAAACTACTGTCGTATCTTCCACAGTATAATCAGCAGTAAAGCAACCAATAGTAATTACAACTGTGACCTAACTAAGGAGCTAGGGGACTCATTCCCGAGTGACTCTTCCTTTGCTTTAGAAAACCGAACCATTTCCTGCTTTCTTACTGCTTTTACCTAAATCAACAATCACTCAACTTAGTTTGCTAGATAACAGATATACACGGAGTAAGCAGTAGATCTAGACCCTGGGTTGATAATTAGAACTTGCCACTTTACTTCATTTCCGGACTGCGATTATACTTGGTCGCAGTTTGGTGTTGCGTTTTAGCGTGTCATTCGTGCCCCATTGACGCCATATTTCGAACCCTATTCCTTTTTGATTCACCAAAAGAAAAATGTTTAATACACCATATCACAATATTTGATATTTATGCTTTTGGTAATTTATGTTGGTTTTGTTTAACGTCACATTACTGTTCCAATATAAAATTATTGGATACAACATATAAAATAATATCTTAGTGTTGTCTCCTGATAATATTAATCACCCTTGTGGCATTTTATGGGTAATTTCGACCAACTTAATACACTACCTCTTTTGTTTCTTTCCAAATTTCAAACTGAAACAATGATCTTCTCAACATTATGCAAAATGTACCCCATCAACATCCTTATCTTTCCCCCCTTTTCGACTATAAAACAACAATCTTTCTCTTAATGTAATTCTACTCAACTCTGAAAAACCATTCATCATCTCTCAATTGCATAATCTTTCTTCCCTTCTTGGGAACTCTTCTCTTCATAAGTCGCTTCAAGGATCTTATCGAGTTTGAGTGAAGTAATGAGTGAAGAAATGTTCCCAAAAAGATCATAGATGGATTGATTTTCCTCTTCTTTGTGGCAATTCTCCTTTTAACTGCACGCTCCTCTCAATTAGATGATCCTGACCAAAAGCACTTTCTCGAGGAAGTAAAGCATCAGAATCGTAAGCGTGATTAAATTTCTCTTGTTCAATCCATGTTTGGTAGTATGAAAAGGAGACTTAGATAACTTATCATGTATGATGTATGAATTCTATCAATAAAATGAAATTTAAGTATTACCTTGTATCAATAAATCCAAGTTTTAAATACTTATTTGTGTGTCGAACAAAATACTATAATTGTATGTTGAGCACATTTATCTTTCCAACCGAGAAAGTCTTTGACTAGGAAAATGCTTCTTACTTACAAGTGAAAATAAATTTAAAACTTAGATACCAACATTAATAACCTTTTAAATCATATATGAATATGCATATAAAAGTCGAGGGACCAAAAGATAAAACTTGCAAAGTTTTAGCATTCTTTCCCAAATATATAAAGAATGGAGACTAATAGTAAATTACCAATAAAGTATACACATCATCGTTTACTCGCGATAAAAGTTTGGGATAAATACTCTATACATCGGAATATTGCGACTAGTCCATAACCTACTAACAACTTCATTGGATCATCTTATAAGCAATATTCCAAAAATCATCATATCAAATGGGCATACAATCAAATCTCTGGATCCCACTATGTGTAAGCCCATAAATACTTTGTCATAAAAATCTTTAGGATATGATCGTCACATGTGATGCTTGATATAAATCAATGTAATTTCAACGTACAATGAGTATGTTAAATGTTGGCGTACAACAAGTACGATAAATGACCAATGTCCTTATCCTTTTGATAAAAATCAATGAACATATATTTTACGTGCAACTGGTACAATGGAGTAGTGTATATATATATATATATATGGCGAGTTCTATGGTACCCTGGGTGAAATCCGGGGTACCGCATACCTTGAGTATGAAAACACTATCTAGACCTTGAATTGACCGATCTTTCGGACATGATACTATACTCTAACACTTAAAGATCAAAATCTAGGTGTTAACTCTCCCAATCTTATACTCCAAGATCAATTTAATTAGAAATAATAATCGACAGTTATGATTCATCCAAATATAGGCACAAAAAGGAATGCACCATCTTAGGGTTTATAGATTATGATTTAGATAATTATGACCTAGGGTTCACTCATTAAGGGTTAGGGTATAATATCAGACACAAAAATTCTGGTAATTCGAGGTCTAGATAGAGTTTCCATACTCGAGGTATGCGGCACCCCGGATTTCACCCGGGGTACCATAGAAGCCACCATATATATATATATATATGTCTGTATCACATGGGTGGATAAGAGTAGTATATGCGTGTATACTGTATAGTATGTATATTTTTTTATAACCCAGGAACATCTCACGCATACAACGTTTAAGCGATGGCGGACTCAAACACGGGACCTCACACTTTCCGGTCGAGAGTCCCTCAAGAGTTTTACCAGTTTAGCTATGCGACCTTTGACACGGTATAGTATGTATATAATGTGGTATCTTACTTTAAAGTGGGTTTTAAGTGTTAGACATATTGAACGAAATCAAAGAACGGAATAACAGATTTACGTGGTATCCCTGAGTGATCAGGACTTGTCCACGGGTGAGGAGAGCTACAAGACTCTCCGGTTATTGATCGTATTAACTTGAGTGCCGCTCCATCTTACATGTACATATATATCTCGGCATACAATGGAAAAGGAATAAACATCTGAGTAACCTAACCCTCATACGTCGGCCTTAATGCATGGTCTTACAAATATATATACGTACATAGACTAATGGGCCTTAACACCCTACCTCGAATTGATGTTGGTCCCGAAGCATCAATTTGTTCGATAGAAACCAATGGTGACTAGTGGTGAACGTCTTTGTAAGAAGAACGAAAACCTGCTCTTTAGTCAAAATATACCACAGCTGAATAATACCAGCACCAACGAGATCACGGATGTACTGGACGTGAACGCTAATTGTTGAATTTTTCTGATGATGACGTAAATGAAGTGCACGTTTGCGCTAATTGTTAAATTTTTCTGATGATGACGTAAACGAAGCGCACTTCAGCTCTAAATTTTGAATTTTCTGATGATGACGTAAACGAAGCACACCTCAGCGCTAATTGTTAAATTTTTCTGATGATGACGTAAACGAGGCGCACGTCAGGCTTATTGTTAAATTTTATGAAGATGTATTGTTTTTATGCTTATTAGCATAAGTGATAGTATTTTTTGGGCGCTTGCTGACACTCTAAAACACAACACCAAAATGCGACCAAGTATAATCGCAGAGTGAAAATTCAGAATACTGGTTAAGTCTAATTATCGACCCGGGCTCTAGATATACTACCTACTCAGTGAATTCCTATTATCTAGCAGGACTAAGAGAGTGTAGAGATTTCAGTGCAAAAGAAACAAAAAGCAAGTAATGGTCTGGTTCTTTTTAGGTTCAAAAGGTTATCCGGGTATGGTTCCCCCTTGTGTGCAGCTAGTTCAGGTTATACGGTCCAAAATTACTTAGATTGATAAATAAACCACGGAAAGTTCTTTACTTGTCTGAACTATTGACTAAAGTTATCCAGACCCTCTTGGTTTGAATACCTGACGGGCGACTAACCTCCACCAGTATACACTAACCAAGGTTAAACACGCGAAACTTCCACTACTGGCCTTTGTTCCAAAACGGAGCAGTGAATCAACTTCTTGACTATAACAGTCAATTCGCCACTTCCAATTAAAGCTTGGTCTTTTAACCTATGCAGAGACTATCGTTCTAGGTTAAAGCCGGAATTTCACAGGTTTGATCAGGGCCCATGCAATTCTGAAAAATGCCACAATTGAATTTACCCAATCAATCATTCATAACATGGGTTTCATACAATCATTCCTAACATACACAACTAGAGTTCTTCATACACAGATGAAAAGGAAAATTACTCCATGGAGAGAAGTGAGAACGTTATGCTCCAAGTACACAAACATATCTATGCAGCCAAAGATAAACCCCCCACCCCCCCCCCCCCCCCCCCCCCACACACACACACACACTTGAATGCGACATTGCCCTCAATGGAGAAGAGGGAAGGATAAGAGGAACGATGTTACCGGTAAGAACGGGATGTAGTGGGACTGGAAATGATACTAGTCGTTCGAAGCGTACTAGAAATGACCATATTCTGAGAACAACTGAAAGACAAAACACAAACACTCACACTGGGTAAGAGTTAGGAACATCAGTGTCAGCCCCATGGGACACAATAAAACAAAAACAAAACACAACATGATCCAGTTCGACTCAAATCACAAAAACAAAAAAGAACACAAAACATAGGAAAGATGGAGCCAGGATCAAGGATGGCTAAATCCTTCTCATCATCTGCCTCCGCCACATCATCCTCGGGTCGCGTCCACATCAGGAAACAAACACAGACGCTCCAGCAGGAAGTGTGTGTAGAGGCGGGCCTCACGCTCACGGTCCAGGAATGCCTCGATCCGGTCGAAGCGAGCCTCCATGGCGGGCCAGCAACCACCGATAGGTGGAGCAGAAGAGGACCCAGCACCCTGGCCACCAAGGATGAACTGCAGCGGAGGCTCCTGAACATGCGATGGGGCCCCAACTGATGCCGCCGCATCGATCTCTGTCTGGCGAAGGCCCTTCAGCCAACGGATCCGAGGATCTGACCTTGCGACCCAAATCATCCCCATCGAGCAGAGGGTCGCATCAGGGAAGTCGGTGGTGTGCCCAACCAATGTGAACTGGTCTAGTGGCACGCCAAAGTAAAGGGCCATGCGGGTGATGTAGGCCTTGGTGTACTGGAGCCCCTGGAGGAAGTCGTGATCCAGGTGGACCATTTTCCTTCAAAACAGACAACCACAATCTCGAGACCCGTTAGCAACCAAAATAATCTAGGGAATTGGATCCACTGGTCAAGCAATTCCCCCACACTTAAGCACAACCCACTAAACTGTAGTAGAAAAACTGCAGAACTGGCTAAAATTCAAGTTCTAACATTTCCCAGCACACCACACATGCATAGAGGACTACATTCTCTCGACTAAAAATCTAAATATGTAGAATTGGTTGAAACTACCCTACACTCTGCAATCCGATTCTCCGAAAATAGAGTTAGAGGCAAAAAGACCAACCTAGAGACATAAGAAGAAAGGTAGAGGAAAGGGAAAAGGCGGGAGAATTCCTTACAAGCTTTGGACCCAGGACAGCTGCCGGAGGGTCGCTCGAGACGATTTCCGGCAAGGTGGAAAGTGGGGTGACTGGAAAAGGGGATGTCAGACGGTGTGACTCACCGAGAGGAACCCAATGCTGCAAACGGCACCTCGATCAGAGGTCGAGAGTGGCCGAAAAAATGCCTTTGAGCAATCGGCAACGCGAAGCTTTCCGATCTTCTGATGTGGGAGGTCGTAACTTCGAGCTTTTGCCCGTAACATGGCCATAACTTGAGACCTGTGCCCATAAATTGAAAAATCTAGCTGCATTTCTCCGCCCAAACACGCCAGAAACAACACAAAACACCCAAAAAACATCCCACAGGCCCCCGAAACTGAATTTTGACCAACATAGACTCCACATGACACGAAATTGACCACGACATTCCATGTTCGACACATGACACACAAAAATCACAAAAAAAGAGAAACGGAAGAAAATGCGAACCGAGGTGGGGTTACAAGCACTTCTTTACCATCTTTTAGCTGGACGCCCATGGCGGAGCTAAGGGTCCGCAAGATCAATCACCAACTCTGCGCGTGCAACATCGCCTCCCAAGTAAAGCTTGAGGCGATGCTCGTTCACCTTGAAGGGATCAGTTTGTGATTGATGATTTCGACAGTGTCGTAGGGAAACACCTGGGTGATCGTAAACGGTTCAGACCATCGGGAGAGCAGCTTTCCCGGAAAGAGTCACAGACGGGAGTTGTTAAGCAGAACACGATTGCCCACCTGAAACTCCTTCGATCCTTTGAGTCGAGTGTCGTGGAGACTCTTGGTTTGCTCTTTATACAGTCTAATGTTCTCATAGGCGTGGTAACGCCACTCTTCTAACTCCACCAACTGCATTTTCATTCAGTACCTGCAAGACTCACATCAAGGTTTAGCAGCTTAAGGGCCCAAAATGCATTGTGCTCTAGCTCAACGGGCAGATGATAGGCCTTTCAATAGGCAAGCCAATAGGGAGAGGTCTCAATCGGTGTCTTGTAGGTCGTCCAGTATGCCCACAGAGCATCATCGAGCTTGGTGGACCAATCTTTACCGGATTGATCCGCTGTCTTTTGTATTATCCGTTTTAGCTCCCGGATCGTCAGCTCGACTTGACCATTTGTTTGGGGATGGTAAGCCACCGACACCTTGTGTGTCACATCATAGCGAGAGAGGAGCTTAGTGAACTGCCCCTGAAAGTGGGTTCCTTTGTCGCTAATGATTTCTCGGGGTATCCAGAACCAGGAGAAAAGCTGCTTCAGAAATGAGCTGACTCGTCTTGCGTCATTGGTGGGCATGACTTGAGCTTCTGTCCACCTAAAGACGTAGGCCACCTCAACCAAGATATACTTATTACAAAACGAAGAAGGAAAGGGACCCATGAATTCAATGCCCCAGACATCGAAAATCTCAGAAACTACAAACGAATTATGGGCCCTCTCATCACAAAGTAGTGGAAGTTGTGTTCAATTTGAGAGAGGTCACCCAGATATGGTTCCCCCTAGACTGCAGTTAAGCCAGGTTGTAATTCATCAAGTTCAAGTTCAAAGATAGTTATACAGCGGGAGGTTCTTAAACAGTCTGCAGTCTCGACTAAAGGTCTCCAGACCCTCTCAATCTGAGTCCCCATCGGGCGACTAACCTCCACCGGAGTAAACAGATTGAGGCCCTAATGAACCAAACCTCCTCTGTCGAAGTAAATCCGGTACATAATAGTGAATTGACTCCTCGACTAAAGTCGTCAATTCACTACCTTCAATCACGGGTGCTCTATCAACCTAGGCATATATTCTCTTTCTAGGTCAAAGTAGAAATAACAGGAATTTGATCAGGATTCATTCCATTCAAGAAATCAAACCTCAATTGAATATAATCATATCACTGAATTCGTACTTGGGTTCATACAATCAGACCTAACATACAATCTAGGGTTCTTTATACCCAGGTGAATGAGAAAGTTTACTCCATAGAGAGAGAAGGGAAATCTAGCTTAGATGCGGAAACCATACTGTGAAGGATGGGATTATGCTTCTGGCAACCAATCGGCACTTCTCCAAGCTCAAGCCAGGCTCTAATGGTGATGAAGATCGATCTAGGGCACTTGGAGAGTCAGGTTCGTCACTCTCTCTAGGTATCAAATTTTTCTCTCTAAAACTCGGAACCCTTCAAAAGTTGAACTTCTTTCCCTTAAGAACCAGCAGATCGCGATCCTCGGCCATAATACCTAGCCAGGTATTTCAGGTGTCCGGCCGGGGATTTCAAAACGCACAGCATCGCATACGGGATTAATACCCGGTTGTGGTCCAAAATACCCGATCGGGTATTTTTCCTCTTTGGCCAGAACCCCTCCTTCTTGGAGTCCAAAAACGTGAATCCCCGGCCTCCCTTAGCAATTTACCCGGCCGGGTATTTTTAACTCCTGGCCGGATATTTTCCTCTTCCACTCCAATGTCCTCCTTTTTTACCCGAAACCCATTTCCTCGCCTTCACGTCAACGCTAAGTCCTGAAATATGACATTAACACACAACCTAGCATGAAATTGGATTAATACACGAGAATTGACTCTCAAACGGCTGAAGAATAGAGGTATAAAAATATGTAATTAATGGTCTATCACTTGCCTACCAGATAGTTGGCAAAGTCAGAATACCACGGAATGACACTCTCCACCAAGCATAGTGCCAAAAGTCGCTCGTCCGAGAAGGAGTCGTTTATCTCCTCCACAAAGTTGTCCACCAGAGAGGCTTCCAACCGTGAGAGGTGATCTGCTGTGATGTTCTCCGCTCCCTTCTTATCCCGAATCTCTATATCAAACTCCTACAGAAGAAGGATTCAGCGGATGAACCTCGTCTTGGCGTCAGCCTTGGCCATCAAATAGCGAATGACTAAGTGGTCGGTATAGAAAATAACATGAGAAAGCACAAGGTACAGTCAGAACTTGTCGAAAGCATACACCACTGCAAGCAGCTCCTTCTGTGTAGTGGTGTAGTTCTTCTGGGCATCGTTCAAGGTCTTCGACGCATAGTAGATAGGCTAGAAATTTACCCGGCCGGGTATTTTTAACTCCTGGCCGGATATTTTCCTCTTCCAGTGCTCTTCACTCCAATGTCCTCCTTTTTTACCCGGAAATTGTTTCCTCGCCTTCACGTCAACGCCAAGTCCTGGAATATGACATAAACACACAACTAGCGTGAAATCGACTTAAAACACGAGAATCGACTCTCAAACGGCTCAAGAATAGAGTTATAAACATGTGTAATTAATGGTCTATCAAATTCCCCCACATTTAACCGTTTGCTTGTCCCCAAGCAAACCTAACTCAAACCAATGCAACTCTCCAAACCTCAATAGCAACAAACAATCCCGATCGTCGGTAGAGGATTTTCTAGATCATATAGCAGCTTACGAGGTCAACTGGTCTTCTAAGACGTCCCCTATCTCTCTCAATGCGAGTGCTAGACTCAAGCCTGGATCATGAGAAGCAGGGGAAGTAAGACAACCAGCTCATGGGTAAAGGGACTCACACCATTCACAACCAAGGACTCCTTGTACCGGAGTGCTCTTTCACTTCATTTCACCGTTGCAACCCCTTTTTCACTTACATTTCGCATTTCTCTTATTTTTTCATTCACTTGACGGGGGGTTCCAACTGCAGTCTTTTGTACGATCGACCCTTATTGGTCGAGCAAGAGCAATTTTTGTTCATCTGTCACTCGCCAAAGTACTTCTTTTAAGTCCTCTTCCTCAACTCGTGTGGAGGTTCAATGAAATTAAGGGGGGTCGGAAGCTCTATTCGTGCCCTTAAAAACACATCCTCATGTAGGTAAACCGTTCAACGGGTGAAAATTTTACTCGTACTAGAGACAGCTTAGCTTCACCTTGTAGGAGTACCCCACCAAGGATCACTAAAATCTCTTCCAAAACCCGATTTAGTGCAATGAATGGTGCCACACACGTTGGGCTTACTCCATGTTTAAGATTTCAATTATTCTGACATGGAAGACCAACTACTTTTCATTTCCCACATGAGCACCCTGTTCGATATACGAGTCCACTAATTCACAAAATCAACCGGCACAGCAGAGAGCTAGATAGGAAAAATCTTATACTTCAACATCCTCCATAGTGCTACACTACCTCCCTAGGTTGCACATTACTATAGAGATTGTCCATTCAAAGCATACTGAGCAGGCAATTTGCAAGGAACACGTACTTGGAGCCCTCAAATCGAAATTTGGAAAGTGGACTAGGCTTCAAGCACCCAAACAGATCTAAGCAGTCAAAATAGAAACATCCCCCCACACATAAGTTCGACATTGCCCTCAATGGAGAAGACGGAAGGATAAGGGGAATGATGTTACCGGTAGGCGCGGACTGCAATGAGACTGGAAGGTGGACTAGTCGGAGTGAAACAGACGGGAATGGGACCAGTCGGTCAAAGGCAAGGCTAAAGAAGACACAAGCACTTAAGCACAGACACGTTAAGTCAAATGTCAGCCCCATAGTACATCATCAAAAGAAAAGAAAATAAACCAAACAAAAGCCAGTTTGCACTCCGAACCAAAACAAAAGCAACACAAAACGAGCAGCGAGTACAGCCTACTCGAGCTCGCCGAAGTCGATCTGATCTATGAGGTCGTCAACCCCATCTGTCACTGGTGGCGGGAGTGGTGAGTGGTCCCACCGGGTAGTCCATTGGTGCTCCTGTGGCGGGTGGCAAGACTGAAGCAGGTGCTCCTGATGCTCCATCATCCGGCAGTTACGAGCTGCTGAAACTGGAGCCCAATTAGATGGAACTTCTCTGTGAAGAAGTCCATCGACGGACCGGAAGCCATCGACGGACCAGAAGGATCGGAGGAGGAGTCGCCTCGCTCGGGTCTCCGTCGTGGCTGAAGAACCTCTGGGGGAGAGTGGGGGCTTCGGCTCATCAGCATCTATGGCCCCGCCATCATCATCGGCCTCATCCTCGCCGGTGTAGTCCTCGTCTTCCTCGTTCTCATCATCAATATCTGCATCCTCCTCGGGAGGGAGGGACAGCCCATCCACCTAGGAACGCGCTCCATCAGAGGCCAGTAGGAGCGCGTTGTGAAGCTCCTCCTGGCATAGAGGGGTGGAGCCGCCCCGTGCTGTGGCATCCATGAGTCCCACCAAGTCTATCTCGAAATGGCGCGCCAACCTGGTGATCAGTGGACCACAACAGAGGTGGTTGGGTTTCTAGTGGCACCGAGAGAAGGTGGTGGCCACGAAGGAACCCAAATGGAGCATATGATCTGGGTCCCCCATTGAAAACATGGCATAGAGCACCCTCTTCGGGATCTTGTGGGAACCAATGGCGTTGGAGACTATCGAGCGGGTGATCAGCAGGTTGAGGATGTGCCACTGTGGCTTGAGGGTGGAGACGTATGTCTGGCCGGCGTCAAAGTAGTCCATCCCGTAAGCACGTCGAGCTATGCGGCGGTAGAAGGCGTCCTGGTTCCAGTCCTTCGGATGTGGGATCTCGATCTTATGTCGGGAGTAGAGGTGGTACGGGATCCCTAAGGCATAGGCCAGCCCATCGATGCTCATCTCCCGCGGGTGCCTACCCAGCCTGAAGGTGACATAGGTGGGCGAGTCTCGGGCCGCTTTGGAGTGGTACCGGAATGTAGTGTAGAACTCCCACACAAGCTCTATGTAGGTGGGCTCGTCGATGCTCAGCAGAACGTGCCAGTCAGGGTGGTTAATGGCAGTGGAGATCTCGTTCAGGCAGTGGAGCTGCTCGAAAGTTCCCCACTCCGAGTGGTGATGGCGCTGGAGAACTCTACATATGTCCCGGTGGTACTGGTCCACGTACTCCAGGTGCAGGTGCAGGCACAGATCCTGCATGAATAGATGGTCGAGAGACATGACCCTGCAAAATCAACAAACCAAAGATGAAACCAAGAAAATACTCGTTAGCACCAACAGTATGGGTTCAATAGTTCCCCCACACTGTAAGGACACCACCTAAGGCAACCAATCAAACCCAAAATGGATAAAACAGCAGCAACAAAATCAGGAATCATGCACAAACAACCCATTTCAAGAAATTGGGCAACACACAAGTAGTAGTAAATCATACCCACAGCAGCCCTCACCCTATTCTAAATCAAACATGCCAGACAATTCACAGTTCTTGGGCCAAACATCTACAGTCCAATTCTCCAGAAAAATATCTAAGCAAGCAAGAAACACACCTGGAAACACAAGTAGGACTGTAGATGGACGCGCCGAAAAACTCAGAAATTGTCCGGGAAAGCTCGCCGGAAAAGTCGCCGGAATGTCACCTGAAAATGGCGATGGTGGCGAGACCCGGAGGTAGGCCGTCGTCACACGGTGGCGGCGAACGTTGGCGTCGGTGGCAGACGGTGGCGACGGCGGCTGGCGGTGGCCGCGGTCGCTTACGCGAAAGAGAGGAGGGAGAAGAGAGAAGGAAGAGAGAGGGAGTTCTGAAAAAATGAGAGGAGAGAGAGGGAAGATGGTCGGGGTCACTTATAAAGCAAAAATACCCGGCCGGACCTCAAAAATACTCGGTCTGGTATTTGAGGCGGCGTTCGGGTACCCAGCAACGAGGCATTTCGGACTAAGGAAAACCCCGGCCGAGAAGCCAAAAATCCCCGGCCGGGGATTTTTGGGTCAAGGTCGGGGATTTCCCTTTTTCGCGCCCCCTGGGAAGAAGGGGTCCCGACCGTGACGCCAAAGTACCCGGTCGAGTATTTTGAGGCACGACCAGATATTTTCCCCTTTTCGGCCAAAATGCAATTTTTTCTCAAATTTTCGAACATCCCTGCACGAACACACCAAACCAAGGCTGATCAGATGACCTAACTTCATCACAGACATGCAACTGACTCGAACACACCACAAAACAAAGGGAAAAATAAATGCAAACCGTGGTGGGGTTGCCTCCCCACAAGCGCTTCTTTACCGTCTTTTAGCCGGACGCCCATGGCAGAACTAAGGGTCCACGAGTTCAACCACCAACTCTGCACGTTCAACCTCGTCTCCCAGATAGAGCTTGAGACGATGGCCATTCACTTTAAATGACCCTGTTTGCGGGTTGCCAATTTCAATCGTGCCATACGGGAACACCTGTGTGACCGTGAACGGTCCAGACCACAGAAAGCGGAGCTTTCCAGGAAAGAGTTTCAGGCGAGAGTTATAGGGGAGAACTCGATCAACAACCTGAAACTCCTTCGGACCCCGTAACCGAGCGTCATGCAGGCGCTTAGTACGCTTCTTGTACAACTTGGTGTTCTCATAGGCGTGGTAACGCCATTCCTCCAGCTCTAGCATCTGTAATTTTCGTTCAACACTTGAAACACTAACATCCAAGTTGAGCAGCTTAAGGGCCCAGAAGGCCTTGTGCTCTAGCTACACGACCAAATGACATGTCTTTCCATAGACAAGCCGGTACGGTGAAGTACCAATTGGCGTCTTGTAGGCAGTCCGGTATGCCCAGAGAGCATCATCGAGCTTGGTGGACCAATCCTTGCGGGACTGATTTACCATTTTCTCCAGTATACGTTTGAACTCCCGATTCGTCAGCTTGGCCTGACCACTCGTTTGAGGGTGATAGGCCACGGACACCTTATGAGTGACACCATAGCGAGACAGTAACTTATCAAACTGGCCCTGGAAATGGGTGCCTCGGTCGCTTATGATGGCTCTAGGTGTCCCGAACCAGGAGAATAGTTGTTTCAAAAATCCGCAAACATGTCTAGCATCATTAGTGGGCAAAGCTTGCGTCTCAGCCCACCTAGAGACGTAGTCGACATCAACTAAGATATAGGTGTTGCCAAAGGATGGAGGAAAGGGGCCCATGAAGTTGATACCCCAGACATCAAACATCTCACGGGTTATAAATAAATTCTGGGGCATCTCATCACGGGCATAGATATTACCTGACCTCTGGGATCGGTCGCACCTGCGTGCGAAGGCGTCTGCATCTTTGAAGAGCGTCGGCCAGTAAAAGCCAGATTGTAGCACATTTCGCGCCGTCGACTCCGATCCTGAAGA